GAAAAGAAAAGAAAAGAAAAGAAAAGAAAAGAAAAGAAAAGAAAAGAAAAGAAAAGAAAGATTTCATCCAAAAGCCAGCGGACTTGACGCATGCGTACACCTGTTTTAGTCAAAAGCCCAACTTGACGACTTCACGAAGAAAAACAACTTCACAAATTGTAATTATTTTACCCAGATGAACTAAAACCATCTACCCCCGACCCTCATGGAAACTAAAGAGGTATTTATAAATCATCATCTGTTTTATTGTTTCTAATTCTTGGTTATTTGCGTCAAAAATGCACAGTTTTCTAACCTTGGTTTTTTGGTATAAACACCGGCCGGTCAACAACCAAATGTGTCGTAATAAGATTTTAGACAAGTTTTACTCTCCTCAAATTATTATACCAGTTCTTTTTTAGTTGTAATATCATTCCTGCCTATTGTTGTATTTCTCTGTTTGCTTGACTTGAAATATTTTGAACCTGAGCAAAGCGAAAGGTATATTTTCATTTCAGTAGCAAACAGCATCATTAAAATATAAACTTACATTGAATAATCAAAACAATCGGTGTCATATATAGCAAATATCTAAAACTAAAAGTCACCTGATTTCTAAACTAGGACTCTCGGGATATTCTACATACCATAGGAAAACAATTACCTTCGAATTAATGTGTTTAGTATCTTAAATAGAAGAAATTTTGGCTGCTATACGAGTTAGGTCATGAATATGTTCTGTCATGCACAACAAATAATGAAATTTTTAATTAGCTCTTATCTTTAATTTTATCATATCCCCATGCTTTTTAGACACCCAAAGTTAAAACTAACTCCGATATACTGGCTTATAAACTTCATATGCTTAGTTTTAGAATGCTTTAGAATCCCCCTCGTCCCCGAATTTTACAAAAATATAAGCTTAATTTTTCTTGTCTGAGACTTAATCCAGCTGTGTTGTTTCGTTCTGATTTTTTTAATTTTTCTATTTATAGAAGAATTAGCTAATTATTTCCCAGGAAATAACTGTATGTTTAATGAATATCATAGAGTTTAGGAGTAATCTTAGTATATATTAGTTATTTTTACCATGATGTACATTAGTACGATGTTGTTAATGATTCATATAGAGTATAATATGTTAGGTATCATTATAATAGGCAAAGGTCAATAGGTTATTCACTAAACATTATAATAACGATAGAAGAAGATCATGAACTGCTGAAGAGTCCTGAGGACCAAGTAAAGGTGTTACAAATTACTAAGCTGTTAATGGTAGTTTAAATTGGAGAATTATAAGGGAGCATTATCTCATCCCTGACCCTTAATAAAAACCCTGCTTTTATAAAATATTTTGAACAAATGTGTAATTCCAGAAATTATTCATACCCTCACAGAGGAATTTGGAATTTGAAAAAAATTGAAAAAATTGAATTTGAAAAAATCTCTTCATGGAGTTGGGGGGAGGGAGGTGGGAGGGTTTCTGAAACTACACAACAATAACAAAAACAATTATAGCAACTACTACTATTGCAATTTACAATAAGAACTAAACCTACAGCTTTTCCAGAACATTTGTGTTATCAATCTTTACAATAAATAATATTATTTTTGATTGAACACATATGGTCATGCAACAATAGGAAGATGTTAACGATTAAAACACCCTTTCCCATGCTCCATTGAGTAAGAAAGAGTACAGGATGTTATTTAGCATGAAAGAAGTGTGAAGAGAAGCATGCACCGTTGGCAAGTGCTTTTCACACTTCTTGAATGCTTTTAGAAAAGTCATCTTACAATAAATAGTTCCATTGGTTTTTATACTCATGGGATTCCTGTGGGACTCTTCTCATCAATATGCATGTACGTGCCCCTAAACTTTGCCATTTTCACTATGGCATTGTAACTTATATCTTTCTTTATAGCCAATGTCTTCAGAATCGCCAGCTTCACCAACCACAAATGAAGTCAAACCAATACTAAAGAAAAAAAGACCTGAAGATTTTAAATTTGGGAAAATCCTTGGAGAAGGGTCCTATTCGACTGTAAGTTACTTGTTGTTGCGATTCTTTGCAGAATGTATCAGGAATCAAATAGGGTGTGTGGCTTTATTTTAGTGCCTGATTTGAACATTCTACTTTGTAAAAATTGGGCCCATATGAAAAAAAATTGGAAACAATGCTACAGATTTTGTGAATCAACTCAGCTCTAAACTACAGACACAAATTGTTTCCTGATACATTCTGGTGAAGAAACTTGCCAACAAATCATAGTGAGTATCCTGCTTAAAATAAATCTAATGGAAATGTTAACCCAAAAGATGTTGAGTATGGGTGCTACAAGTGCATGCTATTATTGTGCTACATTTCACTGCTGTGGCTCTGGTCATGACTTTTCTGATGTACACTATGTGTTTTCCATAAATTTACATGCATATCTTTTATCAAAGTGAGTTTTTCCGAGATGAAAGTCTAGCCCTCCACCTACCCCCCCTCCCCCCGGCCCCCCACCTATYATACAAGTATTATGATTATGCTAGGTCTTAATTTTCTATAATAATTATGGTGTATAAATGATTACTTCTTTTAGGTTTATGTGGCTCTGGAAAAAGCAACTGGGAAAGAATATGCAAGTAAGCTATGATACCTTTAGTCTGTGATGGATCTAGGATAATGTCAAGGATGTAAGGGGTAGAGGGCTGTGTCAAGGGGTTATCCATCATGGGAGGGGAAGAGGAAGAAGAGGCTGTTAAGAATATAAGTATATGGTTTAATCTTTAGGCATTGCATTAGAGTGAAGGCATTTAACCTGTGAAATAAAAATTATTAGTCAACGTCTAATAGTCAAACAGTAATGATGAAAAAGTAAATTATACACCGTGAAAAGATGAAAAAACTTACTGACGTTTCGGACGCTAGTCCTTCGTCGGAGTAAAAGAGCAAATAGTCAAATCAAGACAAAAGAAAACGATGAAATTAGGGTCTACTAAAGTGTGTTAGTCTAATGCTGCTGCTTATTTTTTAGTCTTAAAACTCAAGGGGGGGGGGGGGATGTTTGTAGCCTCCCATTCTACTCTCTGGATACACCTAATATACCTTTATTTATGTACCCATGCATTAGAGATAAAATTATAACTACCCCAGTAAATTTATTTCTTAAACTGCAGTTAAGGTGCTGGAGAAGCGACATATGATCAGAGAGAAGAAAGTCCCACAAGTACAAAGAGAAAAAGAAGTCCTAAGCAAACTCAACCATCCCTTCTTTGTCAAACTTTACTTCACTTTCCAAGACAAAGAAAAACTCTGTATCCTTGCTTTGCACATGATTCAATTGTGCAATAAAATTTTAGATGCCACCCATTCATGTGCTGATCATTATTAATGAATTAAGCTTGGCAAAAGAGCAATATCTCAGAATCAATATGGTATGGACACTACAATTGGGTTTAAATGATATTTATAATTTTATTAGTTTATTTATAATATAGATATATAGGGAGGTCCACAAGTTYATCAATCTGTGACTGTAATGGGTTTAACCTCGTTAAATAAAGTTATTATTATTATTATTATCATCATTATGTTGCCACAATTTGCAATATTGGTCAAGGAATGAAAGTGGATGATTCATTATAATGGGAAGTTCTTATATATATATAGCGTATTTCACATTGTCTCAATGAGCTTTGCAACAAAAGTTTGTAAGAATAACATGTAAATTCTGAAGTTCCTCCACAGTCAAACTTACATGTACATTGTACTGTACATGAAGTTGTATCAACTTCAGCTCATGAGAAGAGTATCATCTGGATTGTGCCTTATTCATTGTATTCTCATCTGTCTTTAGTCTGTTGTTGATGTATGTGACTTCCTTAATGTATTTTTTTAAGACTTTGGTCTCAGCTATGCAAAAAAGGGAGAATTACTACCATACATCAATAAGGTGGGTAGAAATATTCCAGCACTATAGACACTATGAGGCAAATGAAGTATTTGCCTTGGTATATTGTCACTAATGTCTCTTAATACTCTATTAAATCGCATTTCCAAGGGACTCAATTTCAATTTTGGGGGGGGGGGGAGGGGAGGGGGCATGCCCTGAACCCCCTTAGTTTCTTCCCCCTAGTTTCTCCCCCCTTCATTTCGCTTCTTTTTTGCCTTGGTAAATATTTTGGTCTGGCTACGGCCCTACATTCTGATTCAATGATGCCAACTACTGGCACCCAGTTTGCTCAGTTAGAAGAGCATTAGGCTGTTATGTGGGAGATTGTGGGTTAAATCCCTGGCAGGACCAACATTCATGGCCTTAAAATATTTGAGGACAAGGTGCTGCCTTTGTAATGACAACTACAAAKGGTTAGACCTTCACATGGCTCCACACTACCTCACCTGCATCTGACAGCCATAAAAGAACCACTGAGGACATAAAGAAACCCTTGAACACCCTCAGTGTTTGGCCATTACTAATACAACTGTAGTTTCTTAATGGGTTGATTGTGGGATGGGTTTGGGAATTTTAGGTCAGCCTCTGGCCATTAATAATAATTTAATGGGTTTGTGTATGTACCTTTAAGGTGAACCTGTTTCTTGTTGTGCAGCACCAGCCTGTGAACAAAATATTAAAAATAACTAATAAAAATAGAATAAATAAATAACTAACACTACAACCCCTCTTCCTCCTTTGAAAAATATATAATAATTAGGATAAGGAGCTCATTACTGCAACCTCACAGTTTTTTTGATAATATTAACAACCAATAATATTCTAATCCATTCAAACTTACTCCTTTGGCTATCCTTTCAGCTTGGTGCATTTGACGAGACTTGTACACAGTTCTACTCAGCAGAGATTATCAGTGCACTGGAACATTTACATAGCCTACATATTATTCACAGGTATGCATAGATACTATCTAAACCAACTTAAAAAAGCACTTATATTATTTTGCCCTGAGACAACTTCTGAGAAGATCTTGGCTAACTCACAGATTGAATTTAGTGGGTTTGGTTTTTTGGAGGAATGAAAAATTCCAGAAAAACTGGAAAAAACCTCTAAAATCAAGGGAGAGACACAACAAACTCTCCTCACATGTAATATCTATGAGTATAGAGTATATCGATAGAATAGAGACCCCAGAGGTGTGGAGCAAGTGAACACACAATGTTCAATGTTGTCCAGTCTTAAACAATATATTTTTCATGTAATTTTTGAGTCAATGTCATTTTGACTTTTGGGACAAATAGATACATACATACAGTAGATAAGACTTAAGAGTGTCATCCATTTTTTTTGTTTAATATAAAGTTTMTTTTCTTTTCTTTCAGAGACCTTAAACCAGAAAATATACTTCTAGATGAAAAGATGCATATTCAAATAACAGATTTTGGCACAGCAAAAATACTGAATGATAATGATAAAGGTATTGATAGCTTGAATGTTAAACTAGTTTTAGCATGGCTATTTGATATTAATATATAGTGACGTGTATAGCAGCTGTCACACACATCTACAACTGACAGAATAGGACAGATGAACAGTGTTAATAGTGGATCAATGGCTGTATGATAACCATGTAGAGTGCAAACAATTAATCCGTGAAACTCTAATTAATAAATAGTACAAAATAGTGCTAATTAAACAATAGAAAACAATGGAATTTGCATGAAATTGTGCTATTTAGTATTACTAAGCTTTCACGGATTTACTGTGGTCACTCTAAGTGTTAATAGCACAAAAACTAAATAACACTAAACTCATCTATTTCTTTTGTTTTCAATTGTTTCATTGGTGCTATTTTGTACTAAATTAGTTAGTACTATGTCACAAATATATAGTTGCACTCTTTCGTCATTGATGCTGTTTTGTCCTCTTTTTTTCAGGACGTAATTCATTTGTAGGAACTGCTCAATATGTCTCACCTGAGCTGCTTACTGACAAACGTGCTTGTAAAAGGTACAAGAAAACAAAGAAAATTTGAGTAAAAACAGACTTTTTATGGTTTCCTTTTTATTATAAAGCAGAGTGAAAACTTTATGTTCGAAAAAATGTGGTATTTCTCACTCAGCATCCCATCACAATGTCAGAGTGATATAAAAACACTCAGGGATGTTAGAACATGTTTTTCCTAATGTCATTTCATTTTATTTTGATTTTAGTTCAGATATTTGGGCTCTTGGTTGTATAATATATCAGTTACTGTCAGGATTACCACCTTTTAGAGCAGGGTAAGAATTAATATATGTGCCATCAGTGTTGAAGCATAAGGAGGCAACATCACCTCAGCCTTTGGCTAGCCCTCATAACATATCTATCTTATGCTTCACAATACAAGACAAAGCAATACGAACAGTGAAAAGTGAAGGGCTTAAATCAAACATTAATGCATAATAGTTTACATAGAATGAGACTAAATTGCAGATTTTTTCCTTTCTGCTTTTATATTACTAAACAATTATTCGCTGAAGGTGAAGTGAATATTGGGGAATATTTACCCAGACGCAAGTCTCGAGCAGCGAGGTAAATATTCCCCAATATTCACTTCACCTTCAGCAAATAATTGTTTAGTATAAGTACACAGGTGATTCTTTCAAAAAAAGAAAAAAAAGAAGATAAAAGACATTTTTTCCGGTTACAGCAACAAAGTGGCTGGCCGCCATTTTGGATTATCGCTGGAGGTGATTATCGTGTGATAGTGTGAGTTTCTCAACCAATCAGCGTGCGAGATTTTCAATAATCACCTGTGTATTTTTACTAAATGTTAATAATCCATTTGTGATGGTGTACCCCACAGTTACAGTATCTAATATGATATCCTCTCTTGTGTTTATATCTTCAGAAATGAATATCAAATTTTTCAGAAAATTATAAAACTAGAGTATGATTTTCCCAGTGGATTTCCTTCTGTTCCAAAGGACTTAGTAGAGGAGATTTTGGTGAGTAAACAAAATGCCTGGGTTATATTCCCAGGAAATTACTGTTCCTCTCCCCAGATGAGGAGAACAGTGTCCTAAGACTGTTGAGGCAAATTGCATGTTGGCTTGTACTTCTAGCAAATTTCCATTCTTTCCTCAATGAGGGGAGATGAGATTCTCCAAGGACTGTGGAACATCAGAATGGGTAAAGTTAGAGTCTAGGCGAGAAAAAGAGTAAATTCAAGGACCTTCTTGGTGGGGCATGAAGTTGCTCGTCTTCATCGGCAAGATATGGATATTTCAAGTAACCAGTTGTTGCACAAAAATGTTACTTGTACACTTGTACTGTAGTCATTTTCAAAGTGTATTGAGATCACCACCAACAAGTCATTAAGGGTCTCTATCAGTGAGTTTGTAAGTCTACTTAAACTAGGTATCCATTTTTAGTAACCTTTAGTTTTACTTTCATGTTTTAGCATCTCGATCCTACCAAGAGACTTGGTTGTGAGGAATGTGGGGGGTTTGAAGCTCTCAGAAGTCACCCTTTCTATGAAGGTACCTAATGAATGTCAGTATAAATGATTGCAGAATATGAAACCTGAAGTATATAGTATAGTGCCACTCTGCAGTGCATCATGGGAAACCTTGGGAACCATGTTTATTGAATTTGAAAGTATATAGTACATACAGTATAGTTTCCTACTGAAGTGCATCATGGGGAATCTTGGGGACCTTGTCGATTGAATTGAAAAGTATGTAGCACATACAGTATAATGTCTTACTGAAGTGCATCTTGGGGAACCTTGGGGCCATGTTGATTGAATTGGAAAGTATATAGTACATATGGTGTCCTACTGCAGTGCATCATGGGGAACCTTGGGGCCATGTTGATTGAATTGGAAAGTATATAGTACATATGGTGTCCTACTGCAGTGCATCTTGGGGAACCTTGGGGCCATGTTGATTGAATTGGACAAAGGATTCTGCCAATGATGTCATGGTTAAGTCAGAATATGTTTAATGTATTTTGTACTAGGTATTGATTGGGAAGAGTTACCCAACACTAGTCCACCTGAGTTACTACCGTACTTACCTGCTACAAGTAGTGACGATGAAGAGCACAGAAGTAAATATAAGGTGAATACAAGAAATGCTAACAACGTAGCCTTCTGAAGTATTTCATACTGCACTTTATAACCCTGGGGTGCAGAACGTTAGAACCACCCAAAACGAGTAGAGTAGCAGAGTAGAACTCGATAGACCTCTTTATCTTGGGGGTAATGTTTTCCCATTTCAGATCACGTGTCATTCTCTTGGTGATTATGATATTTTTTAGTAGTCTCTTTATGTGAGACCGTTAAACAAAGAAATGATACTCTAGGGAATGACACATGGCCTGAAATAGGCAAAAAATTATGCCCAAACTAAACATATTAGTTTATGTTCCAAAGGCTTCTGTCAACCATTGTCATCATCACCTCCACCACCACTACCATCATGACAACCATCACCATTACAACCATCACCATCATAATTATTGTCAGCATCAAGCCTCTTTGTTGCAAGTATTTGTTATTGTCATATAAGCTAGTGTAATTATATTATCATTGTTATTGTTATTGACAATTGTCATATTTCTCTAGTCCGATTTCATAGACAACGGTGTCGATGAATTCGATGACACGCTGTTGGCCAGATTTGGATTATCTGATGAAAACTTACATAACAAACCAAAGGAAAAGAATTTCTTAGGTCTCACTACCACAGAGGTTGAAGAACGACTACAGAAACAAGCACGTGAATCACCATGGTAATGTCAATAGGCACGGTTGCCATAGCAACTTACTGATTGAATTGCTCTTTGATTACCTAGCGACAGTATCACATTTTCACGTGATCTTTTATCCTGCATGGTGAGCTACTGTTTTCATGCAATCTCTCTTTTGTTTTAGGCATCCTTACGTAGAAAACAATCTAATAATCAAAACCGCAATATTAGATAAACGAAAGGTAAGTAAAAACTATTGCTGGGTTTCACTCAGCTGATAAAAGTCTTTACATCTCATTTTCTGCTGCAAATGGTGGTTAATCACTGACTAGTTGGCATTGCAATGTATTGTGGGACTGTTTTAGGACGCATATTGCCAAGATGGCGTCCGGCAAACACAACTCGACCCAGTCTTTTATTTAACCTCGAAATAGATAATATAATGGTGTTTTTCCCCAGGGTCTATTCGCAAAAAGAAGACAGATGATCCTCACAGAGGGACCTCATTTATACTACGTCGATACATCAGCTATGGTGCTTAAAGGACAGATACCCTGGTGAGCAGGCAAACACGATGAAAGAAAAAAAAAAATGGCAGCAAAGGCCAAATTATCATCATTATTATCATCATAATTATCATTATTAATTTATTTCACTTGTTTCCTTCTTTCTCAAGGACCAAAGAGCTGAGAGCAGAGGCCAAGAGTTTCAAAGTTTTTTTTGTTCACACTGTAAGTTGAAATCCTGAAAAACCACCAAAAACTATCTTTCGCAACTACACGATTCATATTAATATTGAGTAGTATCGCAATTCACTAAATAATTTCTTATACTTTAGTAATTAGATTATACACTCATTTCAATAAAGTTAGTCACCTGAAAAGCTACAAAGCTGAGACCGGCAAGGATTATGGGTAGATACATTTTACATGTTTCAACTGCTTGATAACTGTTGAYGGATTTTAGATCTTCTACCAGTTACAAGTTAACCTCCTCTGAGCATCCTCAACTGCTGCAGTTTGTGTCATAAGCTTTACTTGTTGGATATGAAATATTTCCCCATGATTCTCAGTAATCACAGCTTTATAGCTTTTTGGTGACTAACTTTATTGAAATAAGTATACAATTTTAGTCTTGAATATAGAGTTTCGCGCGATATGATTGGTCGAGCGAACAGTGATTATGTGAGAAGCGAGGTAAATATTCCCCATAATCATTGAGCCTGAGGGGAATGATTGTTTTAGTATAATTTTAGGCTTGAATATCAGAGAAAAAAACGAAATTCAGGGTAAAACATCGTTTTGATATTACTTTCGCTGACGAATTTTGGAAAAACCTCATAATCACTGCTCGTGCAGTGATTATCGTCTCACAATCACTGGTCGCTTGATCACAGTGTGCGAAACCCCGGGGGGGGGGGGGGTACTCCGCCAGAATTTTGGTAGGGGTGTTCCGCTGGGATTCTGAAAGGGGTACCCTGTTTATGACAAAAAAACTCAAATTTGTAGACCCTGTTCATGACAAAAGATATAATTTATTGCACTGAGTTCCTGTTTCAATTATCATGTCATCTCGCGTATCGTTTTTTTTACAACCATAATAACCAGTTTCGGTCAATACGAAAGTAGAAACCCTGAATATGACAGGAAGCTCAGGGAGAACTTAGAACTTGAGTGAAATTGCATACCCTGTTTATGACAAGAAGCTGGAAAAACCATACCCTGTTCAGCAGATCATCCCCGTATAGTCCATATATGGGAGTAGTCCCCCCCCGGTGCGAAACTCTTATTCAAGCCTTAAATTATAATAATAATAATATATATAATCGTTTGTTTTATCTTCACAGCCAGTAAAAACTTACTATCTTGAAGATTTTAAGGGATTTGCCGTGGACTGGGTCAAGAAGATCCACGAAGTTCATGAATATTACTTCGGCGCATCGAGCTGTCAATCACCGTCAAACAAAAGAAATAACAGCAACTCCTAGAGGACTATACGATACATAACATGGTTAGAAGAGCGTAAAAATTCCTTGGCTTTGCCAATCTGTTACCGACGATTAATTTTCTTTTTGATTTCCAAGATGTAGAAATGTTCTCAAGGACTTATGCTTCTGTAAATTTACGAATATTTTAGCTGGGGAAGATTCTGCAAAGGATACTGGACGATGTACATGTACACATGCGTACTAAGTTGAAATCACTCACTTGAGTCACGTGACAAGTCACGTTGTCACATTATTCAATAAGCCATATTTGATATCTTGAAATTCAAAATTGCGAGGGTTTAGTCGTATGGTACTTCATGTTTGTAAAACACACTGATCACCAAATACATTTATTGCCAGGAATAAAATAATGTACCATACATTTGAGCAATATTACGAAATTTTTGATAGAAATGCTAGTCAGTTCACCACTCAACAAAGTTATAATAGAATCTACAACACTATATCTACTGATCCATTTGAGGTTTAATTTTAAGCATTTTATTCCGGAGAGCCTCAGTGTCGTGATAGAATTTCAATACATCGAAAGTGGCGTATTCGTAAAACACTGTTAAGGCCGGTTTAGACGGTACGATTTTCGCCTACAATTATCGTATACAACACGCTCGCGCCATCCTACAACTCGAGTCGTAGCGTGTAAATCAAGCCTACAACTCGCCTACGACAGACGCGAGCGTGTTGTATACGATAGTTGTAGTCGAAAATCGTAGCGTCTAAACCGGCCTTTACAAGGCTAATTTTCGTAGAAACGAGATCTGAACTTTAGACTCGTTCTCTCCCAACATGACGTAGTTACGAATCTTAGGACAAGATGGCGAAGCGATGGAAGGGTTTCCCGTTTGCCATGTTGTTGGTGAAAACAATATAAAATTTCTCCTTGGGGGAATAAAATCCCTTGTCATGCATCCTGCTCAAGAAGATGGCTGACGTGAAAACCCCTAAAGAGTCGCTATTTTGCTTTATTAACTTCAGTTCCATAATTGCGTTTGGCACTAATTTGGACCAGCACTTGAATGGCGGAAGAAAAAAACTGCAATATAATGTAAGCAATAAAACACGCCTTTTAAAACAAAAATAAAGTCAAGAAATTTGTATCTTAAAAACAAGTGAAAGTTTTTCATTTAGGGAATCAATAAGGCGACGTGCATGGCTCCCCACGAGAATAAAAAGGACAAAAGGTGTAGCCGCCATGTTGGTTGACATGATAAGAGACACCAAGAACAAATCTTTTGTAAATGGTGGCTATGACGTCACATGCACCCAAAGAATGCCAGGTGATCTCGCCGATTACTATTAACCAATCAGACTGCGAATTGAGTTTCAAGTTAAAAATCAATCCCATGCATAAAAATCCAAAATGGCTAATTAATGAGCACAACAAAAACCAATCCAAAACACACATTTGCAAGCAAAATCACATTTATTAGCAAAAAATAAAATACATGCATTAGAATTTCGTTCAAGCCTGTCCACAGCAAATGTTTGACACCCAAAGTAGAAATATTCCACAAAATATGTGCCTAAAATAATAAAATAAACTGGCAAATGAAAAGTGAGAAAGGAACGCGGTGACGACGATTGCTTGTTCAGTAAATGAAAGCGAAAGATTCGTAAGTGATCAATACAATAAATGTAAAGCCTTTTTCCATTAGAATAGTGATGATCCATAAGAGGCTATCGGAAGTACTTCTCAACCCTTCCTATTAGAACCAGTACAGGAAAGACACAAGACAGTTCACCTGGAACTAATTTGATGCTAAAAGGATGAAGAATCGACCTTCTGCTTGCAGTTGGATTTCCAGTAATCTTATACTGGTACCACGAGCCGACACCAGTTAAACATTGGAATCAAGTATGAGGTAGCGGTAGTTCACTTGCCTCTCACACCTCTGGGGTCTTGGGTTTGATTCATTCCTGGACTCAGCATCACACATGTGAGTAGAGTTTGTTAGGTTTCTCACTAGATTCGATGTTTTTTTTAAGGGTTCTGGTTTTTCTCTCCCCGCAAAACTAACCAGCTATCTAGTGTCAGTTTGATCTGTGCCAGTCAACCGTGCCCTATCTTTGATCAGCCCAGAGGTTGTTTCAGGGTTCAATCTGTGAATAACCAGATCCCTGACTTAGATCAACGCTGAGGTTGTTTCAAGGTTTAATCTGTAAAAACTGTAACTAGTTATCCGTGCCCTGACTTGGGTCAACCCAGAGGTTGTTTCAGGATTCCATCTGTTAGTAAGCCGTGCCCCATATCATGTGACGATGAACAGCCAGGTTATTTCAGGGTTAGATCTTTTTGTTGAGTTTGATTCCTTTTTCCTTAGGTCGCAATCGATCGTAGGAAAAACAAGTTGGATTTAAACCATCTAACGATAAAATATGCAAAGATACAAGGTCAGTATTAGAGAATTTCCTTTTTCCTATGTATTTAACTATCTGGATGGCAAAAGGACTGTGAACTCGCTTCATCAGTACGACTGTGCGCTGTAAAAGGTCTATATTGAACAAATACGACCAAAAAAGTCTTTGCTTTTAGCACTCAATATAACGGGTTGCATTAGCTGGGGAAAGTTAAACTAATTTCTTTCTTTTTTTTTTTTTTAATGCCAAACCAATTTTTTTTTAAATGGCTGTATACACCTCTTTCAAAAAAAAGTTATCAGTTGGAGATCTGAAATATGAGACCGAGTAACGCGCCTCAAACGAAAAGAAAAAAAGAAGGCGCCCATTTCAGATCTCTCTTACAGAAACCGTCGTTTTTTTGAAATACGTGTATTTTCCAACGGGAAAGCAGCACATCTGGTGTTGAGCTTTTTATGCCATGGCCCGAGTAAATCAATTTTATACTTTAACTATATAGATTCCTCATAAATGGTATAACTAAATATTTGATTTTTCTAGGTTTCTTTTTTACTCTTGGTTATCAACATTATCAATTTCACCATGGCAACAAACGTCAACAATTCTTCTGGGTGGCCCATCTGTAAAAATAAAGGTTTCAGTGGCTGTATCTGTACCAATCAGAAAACAGCTCGATGTTACATCAGTCACGTGGCCGATATCGAAAAACACGTGATCCAGCCAAACTGGTTTTTGCAACTGTAAGTAAAACTAGTCTAATAGACCTCCTTCAGTTATAATTACAATGAAAACGAGACAAGCGGGAAAAATACGAAAGTAATCATCTGCGATAAATTGGCAACAAAATGGATAAAGATCATAATCGACTAGGAAATCGGAGAGAATTTCTTTTTGAACTAAAGCGCAAATTTACTTTTCAATCAAGTTAGAGTCACTTTAAAATGATTAGCATTGATTGTTGTCTTCAAGTTCTCTCAAGCTACAATATACAATTTCATTCTTTTGTTTTTAGGGACCTTTCAGGGAATGGAATTCAATTCATACCCAAGACGAAATTATCAAACTTCTCTAGCCTTATCCAATTGTAAGTAGATCCAGTAGCGTAAAAAAAAAAAAAAAAAAAAAAAAAAAAAAAAAAAAAAAAAAAAA